TTGTCCAATAAATATTTAGTGTTTCATAAATATTTAGTTTCTTTCATAAATATTTAGTTTGTTTCATAAATATTTATTGTTTCATATTTAGTATGTTTAATAAATATTTATAGTTTCATAAGTATTTAGTGTGTTTAATAAATAACATTACTGATTTCTGGGGACAGTCCCTGTTTTGGACCACCTGTCCCAAACTAAAGCCCGCTGTGCCACGCCCTGCCAGGCCCGCTGTGCCACGCCCGCTGTAAAATAAAAAATAGATCTTTTCTGAAATTTTGAATTATTAGTTATTTTATCAACAAAAGGTCAGAGGTTACTCGCAGCATTTCTCAGCAGCTATAGATAATAGTAACCAGAGATCACTGATTTCTGGGGACAGTCGCTGTTTTGGACCACCTGTCCCCGGCTAAAGCTGTCCCTGGAAATGTGCCACGCCCTGCCAGGCCCGCTGTGTCACGCCCGCTGAGCTACGCCCGCTAAGCCACGGCCGCTGTGCCACGCCTGCTGTAAAATAAGAAAAATAGATCTTTTCTGAAATTTAGCATTATTAGTTATTGTATCAACAAAAGGTCAGAGGTTACTCGCAGCATTTCTCAGCAGCTGTAGATAATAGTAACCAGACATCACTGATTTCTGGGCACAGTCACTGTTTTGGACCACTTGTCCCAAACTTAAGCTATCCCTGGAAATGTGCCACGCCCTGCCACGCCCGCTGTGCCACGCCCTACCACGCCCTGCCAAGCCCGTTGTGCCACGCCCGCTGTAAAATAAGAAAAATATATATTTTCTGAAATTTAGAATTATTAGTTATTTCATCAACCAAAGGTCAGAGGTTACTCGCAGCATTTTGTCAGCAGCTGTAGATAATAGTAACCATACATCACTGATTTCTGGGGAAAGTACCTGTTTTGGACCACCTGTCCTAAACTAAAGCTATCTCTGGAAATGTACCACGCCCGCTGTGCCACGCCCTGCCACGCCCTACTACGCCCTGCCACGCCCGTTGTGCCACGCCTGCTGTAAAATAAGAAAAGTAGATCTTTTCTGAAATTTAGAATTATTAGTTATTTCATCAACCAAAGGTCAGAGGTTACTCGCAGCATTTTTCAGCAGCTGTAGATAATAGTAACCAGACATCACTGATTTCTGGGGACAGTACCTGTTTTGGACTACCTGTCCCAAACTAAAGCTATCCCTGGAAATGTGCCACGCCCGCTGTGCCACGCCCTGCCACGCCCATTGTGCCACGCCCGCTGTAAAATAAGAAAAATTTATCTTTTCTGAAATATAGAATTATTAGTTATTTCATCAACCAAAGGTCAGAGCTTACTCGCAGCATTTCTCAGCAGCTGTAGATAATAGTAACCAGACATCACTGATTTCTGGGGACAGTACCTGTTTTGGACTACCTGTCCCAAACTAAAGCTATCTCTGAAAATGTGCCACGTCCTGCCACGCCCTGCTACGCCCGTTGTGCCACGCCCGCTGTAAAGTAAGAAAAGTAGATCTTTTCTGAAATTTAGAATTATTAGTTATTTTATCAACAAAAGGTCAGAGGTCACTCGCAGCATTTCTCAGCAGCTGTAAATAATAGTAACCAGACATTACTGATTTCTGGGGATAGTCCCTGTTTTGGACCACCTGTCCCAAACTTAAGCTATCGCTGGAAATGTGCCACGCCCGCTGTGCCACGCCCTACCACGCCCTACTACGCCCTGCCACGCCCGTTGTGCCAGGCCTGCTGTAAAGTAAGAAAAGTAGATCTTTTCTGAAATTTAGAATTATTAGTTATTTTATCAACAAAAGGTCAGAGGTCACTCGCAGCATTTCTCAGCAGCTGTAAATAATAGTAACCAGACATCACTGATTTCTGGGGACAGTACCTGTTTTGGACCACCTGTCCTAAACTAAAGCTATCTCTGGAAATGTACCAAGCCCGCTGTGCCACTCCCTGCCACGCCCGCTGTGCCATTCCCGCTGTGCCACGCCCGCTGTAAAACACGAAAAATAGATCTTTTCTGAAATTTAGAATTATTAGTTATTTCGTCAACCAAAGGTCAGAGGTTACTCGCAGCATTTCTCAGCAGCTGTAGATAATAGTAACCAGACATCACTGATTTCTGGGGACAGTACCTGTTTTGGACTACCTGTCCCAAACTAAAGCTATCCCTGGAAATGTGCCACGCCCGCTGTGCCACGCCCTGCCACGCCCTGCTACTTCCTGCTACGCCCTGCCACGCCCGTTGTGCCACGCCCGCTGTAAAATAAGGAAAATAGATATTTTCTGAAATTTAGAATTATTAGTTATTTCATCAACCAAAGGTCAGAGTGTTGGGATCCAAGGGCTTGCCCTCCAGAGGGCTGTGTGGATCCCTTCCTGTGGGCTTCTGTTTCTGTTGGAATCCAGAGGTTTGCCCACCAGAGGGCGCCGTGGATCCTCTCCTGGGAGCTGGTTCTCTGCGCTCAGCTGATTCCCATCAGCTCTGCTGATTAACCTCTCCCTATATAAGCTGAGTCATAGCTTCTCTCTGAGCCGGACCGTGGTCATAGTCATTGTTGCCATGCCATGCTCTGCCTTGCCGTTGTCTTAGTACTGTCCTTGCCATGGAAACAAACCAGAGCCACCCTGCCTGTTGAACTCAGCCTGTCTGAACCTGCAAACCTGTGAGTTTGAACCTGTAACCTGAACCTAACCTGTTTGTCCTCTCTGCCTTCCAGGGTAGAACCCTGTGTGTCACCAATAAATATTGGACTTGAATCCTGCCTGTCTGTTCTGTGAGTTCTGCATCTTGGGCTAGCAAACCAACCACATCATGACACAGAAGTTACTCGCAGCATTTCTCAGCAGCTGTAGATAATAGTAACCAGACATCACTGATTTCTGGGGACAGTACCTGTTTTGGACCAGCTGTCCTAAACTAAAGCTATCTCTGGAAATGTGCCACGCCCGCTGTGCCACGCCCTGCCACGCCCGCTGTAAAATAAGAAAAATATATATTTTCTGAAATTTAGAATTATTAGTTATTTTATCAACAAAAGGTCAGAGGTTACTCGCAGCATTTCTCAGCAGCTGTAGATAATAGTAACCAGACATCACTGATTTCTGGGGACAGTCCCTGTTTTGGACCACCTGTCCCATACTAAAGCTATCCCTGGAAATGTGCCACGCCCTGCCACGCCCGCTGTGCCACGCCCTGCCACGCCCGCTGAACCACGCACGCTGTGCCACGCCCTGCCACGCCTGCTCCCACGCCCGCTGTAAAATAAGAAAAATAGATCTTTTCTGAAATTTAGAATTATTAGTTATTTTATCAACAAAAGGTCAGAGGTTACTCGCAGCATTTCTCAGCAGCTGTAGATAATAGTAACCAGACATCACTGATTTCTGGGGACAGTCCCTGTTTTGGACCACCTGTCCGAAACTAAAGCTATCCTTGGAAATGTGCCATGCCCTGCCACGCCCACTGTGCCACGCCCGCTGTGCCACACCCGCTGTAAAATGAGAAAAATAGATATTTTCTGAAATTTAGAATTATTAGTTATTTTATCAACAAAAGGTCAGAGGTTACTCGCAGCATTTCTCAGCAGCTGTAGATAATAGTAACCAGACATCACTGATTTCCGGGGACAGTCCCTGTTTTGGACCACCTGTCCCAAACTAAAGCTATCCCTGGAAATGTGCCACGCCCTGCCACGCCCGCTGTGCCACGCCCGCTGTAAAATAAGAAAAATAGATATTTTCTGAAATTTAGAATTATTAGTTATTTTATCAACAAAAGGTCAGAGGTTACTCGCAGCATTTCTCAGCAGCTGTAGATAATAGTAACCAGACATCACTGATTTCTGGGGACAGTCCCTGTTTTGGACCACCTGTCCCAAACTAAAGCTATCCCTGGAAATGTGCCACGCCCTGCCACGCCCGCTGTGCCACGCCCGCTGTGCCACGCCCGCTGTAAAATGAGAAAAATAGATATTTTCTGAAATTTAGAATTATTAGTTATTTTATCAACAAAAGGTCAGAGGTTAACTCGCAGCATTTCTCAGCAGCTGTAGATAATAGTAACCAGACATCACTGATTTCTGGGGACAGTCCCTGTTTTGGACCACCTTACCTCGGCTAAAGCTGTCCCTGGAAATGTGCCACGCCCTGCCACGCCCGCTGTGCCACGCCCGCTGTAAAATGAGAAAAATAGATATTTTCTGAAATTTAGAATTATTAGTTATTTTATCAACAAAAGGTCAGAGGTTAACTCGCAGCATTTCTCAGCAGCTGTAGATAATAGTAACCAGACATCACTGATTTCTGGGGACAGTCCCTGTTTTGGACCACCTTACCTCGGCTAAAGCTGTCCCTGGAAATGTGCCACGCCCTGCCACGCCCGCTGTGCCACGCCCTGCCACGCCCGCTGTGCCACGCCCGCTGTGCCACGCCCGCTGTGCCACGCCCGCTGTGCCACGCCCTGCCACGCCCGCTGTGCCACGCCCGCTGTGCCACGCCCGCTGTAAAATGAGAAAAATAGATATTTTCTGAAATTTAGAATTATTAGTTATTTTATCAACAAAAGGTCAGAGGTTACTCGCAGCATTTCTCAGCAGCTGTAGATAATAGTAACCAGACATCACTGATTTCTGGGGACAGTCCCTGTTTTGGACCACCTTACCTCGGCTAAAGCTGTCCCTGGAAATGTGCCACGCCCTGCCACGCCCGCTGTGCCACGCCCGCTGTGCCACGCCCTGCCACGCCCGCTGTGCCACGCCCGCTGTAAAATAAGAAAAATAGATATTTTCTGAAATTTAGAATTATTAGTTATTTTATCAACAAAAGGTCAGAGGTTAACTCGCAGCATTTCTCAGCAGCTGTAGATAATAGTAACCAGACATCACTGATTTCTGGGGACAGTCCCTGTTTTGGACCACCTTACCTCGGCTAAAGCTGTCCCTGGAAATGTGCCACGCCCTGCCACGCCCGCTGTGCCACGCCCTGCCACGCCCGCTGTGCCATGCCCGCTGTGCCACGCCCGCTGTGCTACGTGCCGTGTGCCACGCCCCACCACGCCCGCTGTGCCACGCCCGCTGTGACACAGCGCTCCGCTCTTCATGCTCTGCCCCAATGTGCCCCGCTCTTTGCTCTCCGCCCCACTGTGCCCCGCTCCTCGTCCTCCGCCCCACTGTGCTCCGCTCTTCATGCTCTCCCCGACTGTGCCCCGCTCTTTGTGCTCCGTCCCACTGTGCCCCGCTCCTCGTGCTCCGCCCCACTGTGCCCCGCTCTTCTTGCTCCGCCCCACTGTGCCGCCCCACTGTGCCCCGCTCTTCGTGCTCCGCCCCACTGTGCCCCGCTCCTCGTGCTCCGCCTCACTGTGCCCCGCTCCTCGTGCTCCGCCCCACTGTTCCCCGCTCTTCATGTTCTGCCCCACTGTGCCCCGCTCTTCCTGCTCCACCCCACTGTGCCCGGCTCTTCGTGCTCCGCCCCACTGTGCCCCGCTCCTCGTGCTCCGCCCCACTGTGCCCCGTTCTTCGTGTTCCGCCCCACTTTGCCACGCTCCTCGTGCTCCGACTCACTGTGCCCCGCTCCTCGTGCTCCGTCCCGCTCTTCGTGCTCCGCCCCACTGTGCCCAGCTCCTCGTACTCTGCCCCACTGTGCCCCGCTCCTCGTGCTCTACTCCACTGTGCCCCGCTCCTCGTGCTCCACCACACTGTACCCCGCTCCCCGTGCTCCGCCACACTGTACCCCGCTCTTCATGCTCTGCCCCGCTCCTGGTGCTCTGCCCCACTGTGCCCCGCTCCTCGTGCTCCGCCCCACTGTGCCCCGCTCCTCGTGCTCCGCCCCACTCTGCTATAAAATGGCGCTCTGACCTTTGTCATCGTCCTGTTTCTTCAGGCCCATGATCTTGGGCCGTCCCCGGCCTCTCCGGATGGGATCCGACTGACTGTTGGCTCGGGGTCATCGGTGGTTCTCCGAGTCGCTGGTCAAAGGCGAGCCGATCCTTTCTCTGCGAATCCGCTCCGTTCTCTGCCGCTTGAAATCCAGTTTGTCTTAAAGGAAAACAAAAGACCCGTCAGGAGGGGGAAAAGTTTGAGTGAAACTTCAGACCAGGAGCTGCTGGAAGCTGAAGGGTCCATGAAAGGAAAAATCTGGATTTTACTGCCGTTTAACTAAAACATGAGATGTTTTAATCTCCTTTGTTGTAAAAGCATGTGCTGCACCGGGTCTGAGGAAGCTCTCAGCTGATTAAACATCATCAAAGCTGCTAATGTGCTTATTCTAGATTTATTCTAGAAGGAAGAGTTCTATGCTGATCTAGAGCTCAGCTTCTAATATCAGCAGATGTTTTTTTCTTGGTGGATGTTGAGAGCAAAGCCTGAATAATCAGGAAGTGATTCCCTGTTGTTGGTTCAGGAATGCTGCGAGATTCCTGCTTTGTTTCCCAAAGAGCCTGGAAATCCTCCATATTTCCACTCCAGTAAACACATCTAGCCGTTTAACCAGCTGCAGGCTACAGCCTCTGGTGCTCAACTGTTGCCATGGTTACTAAAGATTATTATTCACTATTTTTTGATGAGTCTCAACCGTACTCGTGCTCGTCGTCTCCCGCTTTATCCGGAACCGGGTCGCGGGGGCAGCAGACTAAGCAGAGACTCCCAGACTTCCCTCTCCGCAGACACCTCCTCCAGCTCTGCTGGAAGCCCCTGGGCCTCCTCCCATTGGGACGTGCCTGGAACACCTCCCGAGGGAGGCGTCCAGGGGGCATCCTCAGAAGATGTCCGAGCCACCTCAACTGACTCCTCTCGATGTGGAGGAGAACCGGCTCTACGCTGAGCCTCTCCCGAATGACCGAGCTCCTCACCCTATCTCTAAGGGAGAGCCCAGCCACCCTGCGGAGGATGCTCATTTCAGCCGCTTGTATCCGGGATCTCGTTCTTTCGGTCATGATCCAGATTTCATGACCATAGGTGAGGGTAGGAACGTAGACCGAACGGTAAATTGAGAGCTTTGCCTTTTCGCTCAGCTCTCTCTTCACCACGACAGACAGGTGCAGCGTCCGCATTATTGCAGCAGCCGCCTCTATTGTTGATGCGGCTGCCCGTAGCTGTGGCCGTAAGGTTTGCGGTGCCTGTCGTGGTGGCAATCCCCGAACCCGGTGGTGGACACCGATAGTAAGGGATGCTGTCAAGCTGTCAAGCTGAAGAAGGAGTCTTATCGAGCTTGGCTGGCTTGTGGGACTCCTGAAGCAGCAAGCAGGTACAGTGAGGCCAAGCGTGTCGCGGCCCGGGCGGTTGCAGAGGCAAAATCTCGGGCCTGGGAGGAGTTCGGAGAGCCCATGGAAAAAGACTATCGTTTGGCCTCAAAGCAATTCTGGCAAACCGTCCGGCGCCTCCGGAGGTGAAAGCAGTGCTTCGCTAACACTGTTTTCAGTGGGAGTGGGGAGCTGCTGACCTTGAAGGAGGATATTGTCGGGCGGTGGAAGGAACACTTTGAGGATCTCCTCAACCCGACAGACACGCCTTCTATGGGGGAAGAAGAGACGGGGTGCTTGGGGCTGGATTCATTCATCACCCAGGCTGAAGTCACCGAGGTGGTCAAAAATCTCCACGGTGGCAAGCCTTCGGGGGTGGACGAGATCCGTCCTGAGTATCTTAAAGCTCTGGATGTTGTTGAGCTGTCATGGTTGACACGTCTATTCAGCATCGTGTGGAGGTCGGGAACAGTCCCCCTGGATTGGCAGACTGGGGTGGTGGTTCCCCTCCATAAGAAGGGGGACCGGAGGGTGTGTTCCAACTATTGGGGAATCACACTTCTCAGCCTCCCCAGAAAGGCCTATGCCAGGGTGCTGGAGAGGAGAGTCCGGCTGATTGTCGAACCTCGGCTGCAGGAGGAGCAGTGTGGTTTTCGTCTTGGCCGTGGAACAGTGGACCAGCTCTACACCCTGTGCAGGGTGCTTGACGGTTCTTGGGAGTTTGCCCAACCAGTCCACATGTGTTTTGTGGACTTGGAGAAGGCATTCGACCGTGTCCCTCGTGCTTCCCTGTGGGGGGTGCTCCAGGAGTATGGAGTCGGGGGCCCTTTATTAGGGGCCATCCGTCTCTGTACAAGCGGAGCAGGAGCCTGGTTGGCATTGCCGGCATTAAGTCGGACCTGTTCCTGGTGCAAGTTGGACTCCGACAGGGCTGCCCTCTGTCACCGGTCCTGTTCTTAACTTTTATGGACAGGATTTCTAGGCGCAGCCAAGGACCGGAGGGGGTCTGGTTCGGGGACCGGCGGATCTCGTCCCTGCTTTTTGCGGATGACGTAGTTCTGCTGGCTCCCTCCTGCAAAGACCTACAGCGTGCGCTGGGGCGGTTTGCAGCTGAGTGTGAAGCGGCTGGGATGAGAATCAGCTCCTCCAAGTCTGAGGCCATGGTTCTCGACCGGAAAAAGGTGGCTTGTCCCCTTCAGGTTGGAGGAGAGTCCCTGCCTCAAGTGGAGGAGTACAAGTATCTTGGGGTCCTGTTCACAAGTGAGGTTCAACCTTTGATTGGATTAATTTAAACCACTGATGCTGTTTTACAGCAGCGTCACTAAGAGCATTTCATCCAGGAAGACCTTAGAAACGTTCACAGAAAGCAACTTTTCATCACTTTAACATGAATGAATGAATAATGAAGGTTGGTTTTTACCTGCGATAGCTGCTGACGTACACTCACTGAGCTTAGCATTCAGGAGCTTCCTGCTCCCTGCTCTTTAGCGCCCCCTGCAGAACTTTGGGACCTGATCTGCTGACCTTCCACCACTTATCAAATCAACATGTAACCATAGAAAATAGATCTTCTCTGAAATTTAGAATTATTACTTATTTTATCAACAAAGGTCAGAGGTTAACTCGCGGCACTTCTCAGCAGCTGTAGATAATAGTAACCAGACATCACTGATTTCCGGGGACAGTCCCTGTTTTGGACCACCTGTCCCCGGCTAAAGCTGCCCCTCAAATGACCCCGAATTATGAATGAGGGGGAAATGCTGCGTGTAGAGTGTTATTACGGTAGAAGGAGCATGGGAGCATGCTGCACGCTGAAACAGTTATTACGGTAATATTAGGAAAAAATTAGAAGCCGAGCTTTTAAAACAGAGAAAGAACTGGAAGTTCATTCATTATCAGCTGCTGGGGAGCCACCCTGCCTTATGGCCGCTCTGATAATCCATTCATTTCATCTGAACTCGGCTGATCCATGTTCGGTTAAAGAAAATAAAGGACTGGATGTTTATGCTTTACTAAAGATGAGGAGCGGAAATGTAAATAAACCAAACTAATCAACAAACAGACAGATGCTACATAATTAGGGGGGCCACATGCCGAAGGCATGGCCCACCTACTACTATTGCACATATTTATTCCGCGTATTATTAGGGGGGCCACATGCCGAAGGCATGGCCCACCTACTACTATCTCACATATTTATTCCGCGTATTATTTTTATTATAGCTTATAGTTCTCCTCGCCACCAAAAACTTCGGCGCGTAACTAGTCACGCACCATTCGTCGGATCGGGCCCAAAGTTGGCACACGCGTAGAGACCAATGGGGCGATGCGTGCTTGTATAAAACTTTCTCATTAGTCCGAAGGTTTGCGAATTATTAGCGAAAACGTCGCAAAAAATTCCCATAGGAAATGAATGGGGAGAGGAAAAAAACAGCATAAAAAACAGCGCTTCACTGTGTTGGCATACATTCACGTAGAAAAACAGTTTAAAGCTCAGTTTGTAGATAAATCCTTCGTCTGCATAAAACTGAAGACGGCATGTTGATAACTGCTACGGTTTTTGTATAATCAGACCTCAAGCGCCACAAAGTTTTGGCAAAATCCAGCCTTCTAGAGTGGAGAGACTGAAAAGCTAGAGTGTGAGGCAGCCATTTTTTTAAGACCCAAAAACATTTTAAACTCGCCCTCACGGCCACATATTTATAGCTAGAGTCACCATTTTTGGTCAGTTTGTAGACTGAAATCTCTGGACCCACACAATGTCTTCGGAATTACGGTAGGATTAATACTTTTCCTTAAAAACCCTCCAGACCGACCTCAAGTCGATGAAAATCAGAGCCGTTTTTCATTGGTTTTGGAACAGCAGAGGGGAGAAAAACGAATGACATTATGTGTTTTAAACTCGTCATAAATATTGTTCTGAAAGACACACATACACCAAAGTTGGCATAGTTGGAGTCGAAGGATGGCTGACGCTCACGGTGAAAGAATTTTTTGAATAACTCATACGGTTTTTGCTCAGCAGTCGTTTGTTCGGAGGACATTTTAAGCACCAGAAAGCTGGGTGACAGTGTCCTGCTGCAGCTAGCTCAATTAGAAGCTCAGGTGTGAGGAAACGTTTTTTTTTTTCTTTCTCTTCCCATTCAGGTTGTAGATGACCTACAGCCATGAAAGTTACTCTAATTGAAGTAAAGATATAGCTGTAGCTTAGATAAAAATAATTTTTCAGATATCATTTATGGTTTTTACTCAGCAGTCATTTGTTCGGAGGGGGGCTTTAGCAGCTTAAAGGTGAGTGAAAGTGTGTTGCTGCAGCTAGCTCAGTTAGAAGCTAAGGACTGAGGACCCGTTTTTCTTATTCTTTCTCTTCCCATTCAGGTTGTAGATGACCTACAGCCATGAAAGTTACTCCAATTGAAGACAAGATATAGCTTTAGCTTAGATAAAAATAATTTTTCAGATACCTTTTACGGTTTTTACTCAGCAGTCGTTTGTTCGGAGGGGTGCTATAGCAGCTTAAAGATGACAGAGTGTGGTGCTGCAGTTTAAACAAAGGGAGGAGCAGGTGGGATCAGCCATTTTGTTTGTGCTTCGTTTTGGGTTGTGAAAGACCTACA